AGCTGATGTCAATAAAGGAGAGGTTGTTAAGAAAAAAATCCATGGGGGTGTGGAGGTGAGAATCCACCACAATCAGCACCAACATGAGGGCATTGCCGGCTACAGCAATGAGGTAGATAACCAAGAAGAGGACAAACAAACCAGCATGGACTTTGAGGTTCTTTGAGAGCCCGACGAGCACGAATTCAGTCATGGGAGTTGCGTTTCCCCATTTTTCCATGTTACCTGTAAGAGTGAACCAGGTTTCAAAACCTGATAAAGTTAGTGTAAGTTGTTTTGGGCTTCTGATTAAATGATGAACACAAACATAAGGATGGGAGAGCTGCTTTGAAGAGAGGAAGCTAGCTTTGGGAAAATCTGATTCAGAGAAAAATATGAGAGGGAGGGAAAGAATTAAGTATGCAAACCTTCTACATACTTTCCTCACTCCATTATAAGTCTTCCTAAAGTAATTTTCTTACTCTCTCTTTATAGAAGCTCACACTTTTTTATTTTATACCGATTTGTGTTTTGTATTTAAAGACCCCCAGCTAATTGGAGGAAGGCAAAATGGTACCAAGCAACTATCATCCATGGTGGACAAGCTGAGATTTTCCAAAAGTTTAGCATTGCTACCAGAGCTCTTTAAATTTTGCTACCAAATTCATATTTTTCAATGTAATAAAATTTTTAAATTATTTAAAACCTGGCCGGTAACCATACTATTCAATGCAATTTAAATAAAATAGATCAATTCTCTTTCTTGTCCTTAGTTTACTCATTTGCCTTAGTTATAGTAACTCATTTATATACCATTTCATTGTAGGATATATAGACTTCTAAGAAAACCTGCATAAGCAGTATTTTTTTTTCTCTTGGTTGAATTTCATTTAATCACAAATAATATAAATCTCTTTTTTGCCTTCCTTCCACAATTTAATGGATTTTAAAAAGGTCTCACCAGCTCCCTAAAATTAATCTTGTTGAACAATAGGTAGATTCTTATATCAATATTTTATTTTTTATCCTTAAAAAGCCCTGAAGGCAAACTTAAAAACAAATATTAATAAAGCAAATACAATGGAATTATGAATATAGTACTAAGACAATAATATTTTTTGGATCAAGTGTGTATTACAAAATCGTGAGGAGATGGAACATACAACAATCTTTTAAGGATTTTGTTATCCTTAATATTAACAGTGTACCAGCTATACTTTTTTCTTTAAAAAAATTTCAAATATCCCAAGGGTTGTCTAAGCCAATTGCAACTCTGAAAGTTGTCTTAATGAAGAGCTGTTAAATTATCACAACTGTAGAAAAATGAAAACATCAAAAAAGGGAGGTACTTAATATCTACTTCATTAGTACTATCTGATTCATATAATTATCTCTGAAATTTTTCAGCACACATTATTACCTTTCAGAAAGTCCTTCCAGCATGAACTTGATGGATCATTGAAACATATTCTGAACGTGATTGTTTCTGTACGAATTCTATCCACCAAGTGCTATCTATCGGCATCATCTGGGAAAGGATCATTTCACTGTAGTACGTCAACACTTCAAATAAAAGTTATCATGTTGTTTCTCAAACGTTTATACTGTCTCTGGGGATTTTTAAGTTCATGATATATTTGAAGATGTGAGCTGCCTCTGGGGACTTGGATGGTTCACCTCCAGAGATTCTTCACCAAAGAGAGCAAAGAACAAACTTTACAAACATGCACATTATCTGGATGCCAACTATAGATACAAAACATTTTGTATCTGCAGGCTTATTCATTGTGCGAGTTATCCTGGCCAGGACAATGGATCAAAGGTCATGGTGTTAAAGTCAAAGCCATCTTGCGGGCACCAAGGCAGTGAAAGCTAAAAAGTGCAAGATACCTGATACTAAAACATAGAAGTTTGTAGCATCACATCAGAACATTGTTTTTGCCCTTTGTGTTTACCTAGGAAGAAGAATTATCACCCAAAATTGCAGTTGCAGGGAAATTCGAAGTGAAAGTATACAGAACCAATTGGAAGGCTTTTGATGAACCTTGAAGAAAAGATCAATAAGGCCAATGAATTGTAGAAGACATGTGCACCTATTCTACTAATTGCTAAATTTTCATTTTGTTTTATAAAAAGAATAATCTTGTGTCACTCAGCAAAGCGTGTCTTCATTTCTTTGTTGCACACCAACCTTGCCATTCCTCCACTGGGTCAAGGCAAAATCCATAGTGCCGCTCACCCACTTCACCTTCACAACCACCTTGGGAAGTATGATAAGCTAAGATTCTTTGTGCTTTATTGAAGAAACCACACAGTAATTGTGTTGTTTATCCTACATCAAAAAAATCAAAGGAGATTTGATTGGAGAATTTTGGGAGTTGAAGTCCACAGATCTTAAAGTTGCCAAGTTTGAAAAACACTGGCCTATAGCAGCCAAAAATTAGAAGGCATCTGGTAGCACTTTTTCAGATTTACACATTTTATTAAAAGGAATAAGCTTTCACAAGCAATAGCTTTTGTTGCATTACTGACAGGGTTATTCCTTGGCATGAGAGATGTGTTAATTCTTTTTACTCTGGTACTATTGTTTATTGTTTTAATTTTCTTTTATTGTATGGACTGTACTTTGCTTACAGCCATCTGCAGTTGAAGCAGCCCATAAACCTAAATGAATGGCTGGCTGGATGAATATGTTTATATCTTCAGTGCTGTCAAATTTTTACTATTGCCCATCCATGAAGTGTCCTCATGTCTTGATCCATTGAAGATATAGCTATGGAGGAAACCTACCATCTTTAACAGCAGTGATTTCTCAAAAGCCATGGGATGCGGGGCCAAGATATCAGAATAACAACCCACTCAATTGGCATTCACACTTCAAAGGCCAAGGTTAAGTACCTCACGTTGCAAAATGTTTTCTTTCCTGATACAGGGATGCCCAGATTTCTGTGTATCCCTATCTATAGCTCTGATCAATAGTGCAACAATTATATGCCATTGATCAAATGCATACATATGTTCATCTTCAATTTCTGTGACCCTTTGTTCTTTGTTCTTAACAGTGGGAGACTAGTGGCTCACTGTAACTTCCTAGCTGTAATAAAATGATCATCTGGATCCTCTCCAATTGTTGGCTTATTCTTCTCCAAGTCTTTCCATCACACGTTACGTGACTGTCCCCTATAGAGCTACATTGCCCGTGTCTTCTCCCTTCTCTACCCTAGATGTCTAACGATATATTACTGGTATTTTTTTTCCTTCAACTTCAGAATAGTAGACTGGAAGGCAGTGCTCTCTTTTTCAGCTTAAAAGCTTCTGATATCTTCATTTGACTAATGAAGCCCCTATTTACCAGTCCAGATTTCCCTCTCAGCTATGCTGTTTTGGAATTTCTTCATATCTAACTGGTCCATTTGAGCAGCACACTGTGTCAATCAACTATATTCACTGCCATATAATCTAGGCCTAAAAGAGACCTCCTCTGCCCTCCGCTGGGATAATATGCTCTCCACCCAATGTGTATCATCTTACTCATTCCATGATTTATTTCAGGTGTAGCTCATCTGAAGATCATTCTGGTGTCTATTCCACATACCTCTTTAATGTTGGCTGCCACTGTTACCTCTGTTTACCTCTCGTGATCCCAGATAGGGCAAAGGAAATAGGAAAGAGAATGTTCTATTGTGGCTGAAAGCTTGTTGGATAATATGAGTTCTTCTTTGTTAAGCTGAGTACCTTGTCCTGGGTTAGAAGGCTGGTGAGAGTTCACCCGTTTTTAATATTAATCTCCAGGATTATGGGTCCCTTGTGCTCAGAGACATTGTTTGACAGATATCCTGCCTTATGTGATTTTAAACAAGGCACAGTATAGCATATAAAAGCCTTACCTTCCTAATGTGTTGGGAAGATGGTCTGATTGGGATTATGAGAGTTGGAGTTATGAGAGTTGCTATCTAAAATAATTTAGTGGGCCATAGGTTGTAGAAGGATTGGACAGAACCTAGAATTATCAATGACAGAACTTTGCCAGTTTAAGGCCCATGAACTGATTTCTGTAAATTTATAGAGACAGAGCCCTAATCCTGGGAGAAGCTAGTTTGGAAAGCATTAATCTGTTGTGGTGAGGAAAAAGGGTTAAAGAGCTGAATAGTATTCATAGACAGTTGATAATGATAACTTGTGCTAATACATTCTATCTATGATTCAGTTGCAAGGAACAGGCCCTATGTTACTTGATCTAATTCCATTGTTACTGCAGGGCTACCACCTTGACTCTGCCTGGGTAGAATTCCAGGTTGATGCCTTGTTTGCACCTGGCATCACTGAGGCCAAAGGAACAGAGATGGTATTTCATCCTCTCAATTGCTTCATCCTTAAGGAGACACATCAGGGTGGTGATACATGACTGAAGATGTTGCCACTCATTCCGGGGCAGGCACCAAACCATAGAAAGCAGTCTAAACTACTGAGAGGATGGGACCTGGGAGATACGGCTTGTTTTATTCAGTTCTTCATTTTCTGCAGAAGGCAGGAGGTTATTAACATCAAGAAAAGGATGCATTTATTCCTTTTGTGAAATGTCTATTTATGACTTCTCAGGACAGTATTCCATGGTTGCCATTCATATACCTGCTATCAAGTGTAGCACAAACACAGAAAGTCAAGAATTTAAAATCCTGCCAAGGGCTGATAATCCACAGAACGAGTGACAGAAAAGGAAGGAATACCTCAGTATTCTCAGAGCTTTTTTAACTGCAGCAATATTTGTCATTTATCGTAAATGACAATTTAAGTAAACTGCAAGACAGATATCTCTCATCCTTTATTTGGACATATTTCGTGCTTTGGGTTTAGGAAAGACTGTTGTCATGGAGGCAAATGCAGTTTCAGTACCAGTTATTAATGTTTTGTTCTGCAGAATCGACCCTTTTAGGATTTGGGAAGTAGAATGCATAATGTGGCATGAAGAAAATCAGTAAGTCAGCCTCTGGGTGAGGTCATCTATCAGTTCCAGGTAAGGTATCATCAGTATGTGGATGATAGCCAGTTATTATATCTCCACCCTGGGCCATCTGTGGAGTTCCTGTCTCAGGGTCTGAAGATAGCCTTTTTCTCATGGTGCCCTCCCCCAGAACATCTTCCACCTGGAGATCATACTCGTTCCGACCCTGCTAACGTTTCTCAAGGCTTTGAAGACCTGATTTTACCGTTTAGCCTGGGGCTAAATCACCATCTTTTCCACAACC